ACTGAAATCCATCTTGGAAAATTAGAGCAAAACAGCGAGATATTTATTGTTGTATTTACCATAACTTAGAACCATTTAAATTAGTATTTTGTAGTTTTACCCATTTAGTGGAGAATTTCAAATTTCTCCCAAGTTGTATGATAAATAAGTTCTCATTTTACTCAGAATTAAAGACTAATGTGTAATAAACATAGAAATAATTAAAAAAGACTTACAAAATGAAAAGAATCTCTTGATCCTTTCACTTACACTTAATGGTCACTCCATAAACTTATAATATAGTTCCTGGATTTTAGGAATAAAAGTGGCATTATAATGGATTTCCCACTGCATTTTCTATCTATATATCTATCTGTCTGTCTGTCTGTCTGTCTATCTATCTATCTATCTATCTATTTATCTGTCCATGCATCCATCCATCATCTGTCTTCTATCAATCAATCTTTCATATCACCAATCATCTTTCTTCTATTATTTCCATTCTTCCTTCTTTCATCATCTAGCCTCCATTTAAACATAGTCTTAAACTTCTTAATATCAGTATGAAAGAATTTTATTAGTTCTTTAAGAATTTCATACATTATATTTTGATCATATTCACCCCTCTTCTAATTTCTTTCAGATCCATACTCTCTTCCCTACCCACCCAACTTTGTGTCCTCTTACAATAATATCAAGTACAGTTTGCTACTTGTAATAGAAAAATCTGATTTGTTCTTAAAATTTTTCTTTTCGTGTGTGTGTGTGTGTGTGTGTGTGTGTGTGTGTGTGTGTGTGTGTGTGTATGTGCATGCATGCCTAAAGGAGTTTTGGGATCTTCTGGAACTTCAGTTACAGGAAAATGTGAGCTATTCCATGTGGGTATTGGGATCTGAACTCTTGCCCTCTAGAAGAATAGTATGCACTCTTAACACTGAAGCATCTCTCCAGACTCAGAAAAATCTTATTAATAATAACATTTTAAGTTAAATCAGCAAAACTGAAAAGATATGGTATAAATTTATCATTGTAGCACGAATTTTTAGGTTTATGTATATTATGTGTACTGACCTTGCCAAATGAACGGATACAAATATATACTCCCATTCTGGAGATTGCCCCTTGTTTTAGTTTCTTTTTTGTGGCTGTGACATACTCTGGCAAAAGCAACTTAAGGGATAAAGGATTGATTCTATCTCACAGTTCATGCTAGGAAAGTTAGAGAGGCAGAAGCTTGAAGGAGCCGGTCCCCTTTGCATCTTCAACCATGAATACATAGTAGTGTTCAACTCATTTTCTGGATCTTATGCAGTCTAGCATACTGCTGACCAAGAAATGTTCTCATCAACACTGGGGGGTCTTCCCAACACAATAAAGTAAGAATGAAGATATTCCTCTGGATCACCTGTGCAGAGAACGAGTGTCTGCAGAGTGCTTGAATTGGGACATCTGTACACATGCATTCCTCCCAAGGTTCAGAAAACTTTGAGAAAGAGCACAGGAAGACTGTTAAGAGCCAGAGGTTAGGAAAGACTAGGCTGAAACCATGTCTTCTGAACATGACTGAATCACAGCACTCATGAATTCTCAGTAGGTATGATTGTGTGCACTAGACCTGCACAGCAACAGTTCGGTTAGCATTGCAGCATAGATGAAGGAGGGGTCCAAGAGTCTACACCACTAGCTGAGGAGTTACTGACAGTTGGTGGATGCTAATGGAAGACAAGTTAGCTTTTATAAGGGATATGGTCCTTGTGAGGCTGATAATGCTCTAGTGGATAACCCCCCACACATATGTATGGGCAGCACAAACAGGACTCAGCGCATTATTTAAAAAGATGAGGACATAAAATAGGAAGTGTAGAGGAAGATCTAGGAAGAGTTTGAGGAGAGGAGAGGAGAGGAGTTGGATGTAAGTATGGTTGAAATGGATTGTATGCAAGCATGCAATTCTCAATGAATAAATTATTTTGAAAATACTATATTTTAAGAAAATATACTTTAAGAAAATAGAATCTTCACAGGCATGGCCAGAGGCACATCTCGCACATGGTTCTGGATTCTGTAAATTTGACAATTAGCATTAATCATCACGTGTCTTAACTCTGTTGATTCCTTATCTTTGCAGAGATTTTTACTGTTATACTCTTACTTGTCAACTCTTGTTTTTATCCTGAGTTATTGATGTTCTATCCAGGAAATCATTACATATGCATCTTTCTTGGAATATTTCCCTCATGTTTTATGCACTTTTAAGGTTTTGAATGTTAAATTTAAAATCAAATTAATTTGGAACAGAATTTGTTCAAGAGGAGGCACAGGAGCCTTGATTTTCTCCTGTACATGCAGATAACTTGAGTTCCCAGCACACTGTGTTAAAAAGAATGTCCTTTCTCTAAAGGATTTTTGCTACACTTAATGAGAATCAGTTTGCCAAAAGTGTGTTTATTTCTGGGTCCTCTCTTTAGTTCCATTACATTGTTTTATTTATGTGAGTCTTTTTGCTTCTGTGTGAATTTCAACATTTCAGTTTTACCCAATTCAGTATGTATGCTGGCTTATGGATTTGTTACATACTGCCTTTGTTATGTGGAGCTACAATCCTGCTATATGTAATTTATTTGTGGCTTTTATTTTGAAGGGATATTTAATTTAATGAAAGGATTTTCATATGCCTACTGATATGATCATGCATTTTTTACATCTGATTCTATTTGTGAGCTGCATTATGTTTACTGAAATACATTGAACTATTCATACATTATTCCACAGAAACCAATTTGATCAAGGCGAATGATATTTTTAATGTACCTTTAACTTCTATTTAAAAGTATTTTGTTGAGTAAAAATGCATTTATGTTCCTAACAGGTACCGGAACAAGTTACTTTTTGGTTGCATTTTTTTCCCTAAGCTTTAGTAACACAGACATATTGGCTTCATAGAATGACTTTTGCTGTGATTGCTTCTCTTCCTATTTTACAGATTCTTTTTTTTGAGGAACACTGGTATTATTCCTTGTTTACAGAGAAGCAGGGAATCCATCCAGTCTTGTTTTTATCTTTGTTGGAAATTTTCTTACTATAGCTTCAATATCACTACTTGTTACTGATTGATTAGTTATGCTTTTGATCCAATTTTATAGCATATGTATCAATTTGTAGATTTTCCAGTATATTTGCGTGTAATTCAACAAAATAGTCCCTAATGAGCTCTGAATTTCAATTGTATGTGTTATTAATTTTTAAAACTGGTTTTGTTAATTTGTTCTTTTTCTACCTTTCTATTGATAAACTAAGTAAAATGGTGCTTTATTTCTAATAACCACCTTTTAAAAATTAATGTTTTTACTGTTCTTTTTGTTTTTCTTTCATTTATTTTTGCTGTACTATTTATTATTTATTTCACTGATTTAGAATTTGGTTTTGGCCTTGTCTTTTTATAAGTCCTTGTCGATACATTTGAAGTATTTATTTAGAACTCTCTCTGTAGTAATAATATAGACACTTTCATTTAATTACATTTTATAATTTCTTATTTGACTTCTTCAATAACTCGCCAATTTCGAACTACTTTGTTGTCTAAACACAGCATATATGAATAGATTATTCAGTTTCTTTTGCTATTGATTTCTTTTTAAATTTCATTAAAATTATATATGATACAATAAATTATTGTATTTTAATTCAATAATAATTTATCTCAGTCTTAATAAATGGTTTATGTTAGAATAATGTGCTAATAATCAAATGTGTATTCTGGAGCTGTTGAGTGGAATATTATGCAGATGACTCTTTAAGTCATTGTACTACATACATTATTGTTTTAATGTTTCCTAGCTGATTGTTTGTTTTGAAGATCTATTGTTTTCAATGATTTTGTTTGAATCAGGGAAAAGAAGTAACCTGCTATTATTTTATGGAGGCCTTATGATTAGCTGTGGTTTTATAAAAACTAGGGATATCAGCATTGGGAACATTTACTTTTTTAGTAGCTGTATCTTCCTTTTATGGTGTGGAGATCAAATTCAGATCCTTGCACATGCCAGGCAAGCACTCTACCACTTTCCAATCCTTAGTTATACCTTCTTCATGTATTCTTGTTTTATTCAGTGTATAGTAGTGACTCTTTGTGTCTTAAAGCCTATTTTTCTGGTTATGATTATGACTATTCCTGCTTGATTACATTTGTTTGGATTATCATTTTCCATATTTTCACTCAGTCTGTTTCTTTGCAAACAGATTAATTTCTTATAAACAGCATGCTTCTGAAATGTACCTTAGCCCAAGTAGATTCTCTGTATCTTTTAACTGGAGAATTAAGATTATTATTTTCATTGTAAAAACTGGGCAATAACTGAATTTTATTCTTCTTGTTTCAAATATTGAGTTCATTTCCTCCTCTCATTTTACAAGTTTTATGTTCTGTTGTACTGGTAATGTTTGATTCCTTTCCATTTCTCATTTGCATGTCTACTCTTATAATGGGATATTTTCTTTCAGGAACAGTCATGTTTGTGCCTGTTTCTTCCTCTTCTGAGTGGAGGTTTCCTTAAGCACTTCCTTAATACTCGTCTAGTGGTCCTGCATTCCCACAATTAGTGTTTTTCTGAGATCATATTTCTCCTTTTATTCTGGAGGGCATTAGTGCTGTGTATACTAATCTCAGTGGAAAGTTGTTTTCTTTGGGGACTTGAAAGGCATCATCAGTGCCCTTCTGTCCTTGAAAGTTTCACATGAAGTGGCAATCATCTGTCTGGACCTGGTGGGTGGATTCAAAGTAGGGTGGAGGAGGAAGGCACAGGACACGATGCTCCTGGGGAGATGCTCCTTAGAACTGGGTTGGAGCCAGGAGAGCCCTAGTTAGGCACAAGGGCAATCAGACTGTAACCACCGGGAGGACCCGTCTGTCCCTGAAGCCCACGGGAGGTCCCAGCACAGAAAAGCCTCAGATTGGATCCTCCTCCTCCGGTAGTCCTGGAGAGTGTTGGAGGTTGGTTTATTCCCACACCCTCTGTGACCCCCACGGGACGCAAGCACCCCTGTACTAAAAACAAAACAAAACAAAAAGCTGAGAAGAAAGTGTTTACTCGCCAGCCAGAGACTAACGGATGCTCAGCAGCACTACATCCACCATGCCCGGGATGATCTGCAAGAACTCAGACCTGGAGTTTGACTCGCTGAAGCCCTGCTTCTATCCAGAAGAAGATGACGTCTACTTTGGCGGTCGCGACTCGACGCCTCCGGGGGAGGACATCTGGAAGAAGTTTGAACTGTTGCCTAAGCCTCGGTTGTCACCTAGCCGTGCCTTGGCTGAGCACAGCCTGGAGCCAGTGAACTGGGCCACCGAGATGCTGCTGCCTGAGGCCGACCTATGGGGTAACCCGGCCGAGGAGGATGTTTTTGGCCTGGGAGGACTCCGTGGCCTCACAAGCAACCCGATCATCCTTCGGGACTGCATGTGGAGTGGCTTCTCCACCCGGGAGAAGCGAGAGAGTGCGGTAAGCGAGAAGCTGCCAGACCGCTATGGGTCCCTGGCTGCCAGCCCCAGCACCTCAGCCCCTGGAGCAGCAGCTGCTGCCAGCTCTGTGGGCCATGCGGGCAGGGGAACAGCAGGTGCGGGGCGTGGGAAAGCCGCCTGGCTCACAGAGCTTGCCCACCTGGATTCAGAGTGCATGGACCCCGCTGTGGTCCTCTTCCCAGCGAATAAGCGCGAGTGGGTGCCGGTACCGGCCATCCCCACCAGTGCTGGCACTGCGGGCACTGTAGTCAGCCGTGGTGACCACCAGGCCTTCAGCACCTCCCGAGAGGGCATCCTGAGCAACTCAGGTATTGAGGAGGAAGATGAAGAAGAAATCGATGTGGTCACGGTGGAGGAGACTCAGTGCTCCAAGACTGTCTCCAGGCTCCCCACCGTGGCGCGCCCTGAGAAAGCAGTTCTGGGCCCCGGGCGCGCGCAGCCCAGGGAGCTGATCCTCAAGAGCTGCATCCTCATTCATGAGCAGCACAATTATGCCGCCGCGCCACCGTTGCCCTATGTGGGCAGCGAGGACGCGCAGCCGCCCAAGAAGCTTAAGAGCACGGCTTCACTAGGGTCCCTCAATTGCGTCCTCCCGCTGAAGCCTACTAGATTGGGTCCCCGCAACTCAAACTTGGAGGACATTGAGCGCCGCCGCAACCACAACATGATGGAGCGCCAACGCCGTGACAGTATGCGCTCCAGCTTCCTGAACCTCAGGGACCTTGTGCCTGAGCTGGTGCACAATGAGAAGGCCGCTAAGGTGGTCATCCTGAAAAAGGCCACCGAGTACATCTACACTCTGCAGGCTGATGAGTGCAAGCTCCTGGTAGAAAGAGAGAAATTGCACGCAAGACAACAGCAGTTGCTGAAGAAAATCAAACACTCTAAGACGTATTAAACGTTTCTTTAACTGACAGTCACTACTACTTTGCACATGTTGACTTGAAAAAAAACTATTGTGTTGACATTAAGAATGTTGGTTTACCTTCATATTGGTCCCTTGTCAAGTTTGGAGCTGGATAGGGGGCAATCATGGAGTTCTAGTGGGGCCTTGCAAAGTCTAGGAATAGGATGCTATCCTAGGATCTTTCTTTCCTCTAACCTCAGTGATGGCCATGAAGGGTCAGGACAGTTGGGAACCTTGGAAGGCTATTGCAGTCATATTTACTCCAAGTTTCCAGAGTCAGCTCTCCTTTTTACAGGAGTGATTACATTCCAATAGATGCCACAGAAAGGGAATCGACATTTGATGTCCTTGGGGGAACATTCCTGTAAATTACATAGGCTGCCCCACCCAGAGGTCAGTATTACACTGGAAGTTCACACCTAAGTATCATAATAACACCTCAATGTTTGAGGAGCATGTTTTGTACACAGATATATTGTCAATCTATGTTACGTATTGTGCTAATTCTTATACTGTCTGTACTTTAGTATGATGCTGATACGTAACTAAGTTTGATATTTATGTTTACATATGAAAATGAAGAGTGAAGGTTTTTAGAATGACTATCACTTTTTTGAATTAAGAAACTTTTTAAAGAAATTATATATATGTATGTATATTCCCTTTTCTCCAAGTTTATGTTTTTCTGTTAGTGTATTTGCTCATGTGTGATGTGTGCATATGAGTGAATGCAAAGTTGTGTGCTTAATTTCTAAAAAAATATGTGCACTTTGAAATACCTCATGTTATTATGAAATAAATAGCGATTAAATAATTTTTTAAAAGAAGCTTTCTGCTTTTCAACTAATTAGTTTACTCTTAAGTGCAATTTCCCATTTATGTTTCACAGATTTTAATATTCTTTCCCTGAACTGCACTTTTGGTCATAATATGCTGTAAAGAAGTTCTCTCTTGGTCAGATCCATTTGAAATAAACACCTCTTGTACTTGCACATTCATTGGTTTCTTAAAATGAGGGAAATGTTGTGCTGTATTCCACTGAATATGTTTAATATACTCTTTGCCTTTAGCTTACCTTCGTCAGGTATGTCAGTGAGTCAGATGTTTGTTCTTATAATGGTATCATAAAGATCTTATGTCTCAGAGATCTGTTTACTCTTGAGTCTTGTTTTTTCACTATTCTTGTTTGAAAATATGATCATATAGTTCAAGTTCAGATATTCTTTTCTCTGCTTAATCCAGCCTATTTGGGCTTTCAATATATTTAATGTATATTAACTATACCAAATAATGGATTTATTATAACATTTTTATTTTATGTATATAAAGTACAATATTAATATTTAACATCTGTCAACCTCTCTTGGTCCTTTCCTCACACAGTAATTACCATTCTATATTTCTGTCTTTTCAAATCTTGGTTCTACATATGACAGAACACATGATGTTTACCTAAAGTGCCTTATTTGTTCAGCATTATAATCTCCATTTTCATGCAAATTATATAATTTAATTCATCGTATGGCTGAATATACTTCATTGTGTATTTGTGTCTGGCTATTTAAATTTCATTTAGATGATTTTATCTCTTTTATATGCTTTCTCCAAGGTGCTATTTTTCATGGTGGGATTTATTTTCATTTTTATATTCATTGTTTGAGAATTTAATTCATAAATATACTATCACACTTTCTTTATCCATTTACTTATTGATCTTAATATAGGAAAATTCCATGACTTGGTTTATTGCGAACAGTGCAACAATGAACATGGGGATTTGGGTATATGTTTTTCATGGAAATTTTGGTTCTTTTGAACACACACACACACACACAGGTTATGAGATCATTATACATAGTTCTACCATTACTCCATATTGATTTCCATAGTATATTAACTAATTTGCATTACTGTTGAAAGTGTAGTCAGTGTTCTGTGCTGATACCTTGCTTGTACAAATAAAGCCTGACTGAGGGTCAGAGAATGGAACTTTCCACTGACTAACCATAGAGGTCTGGAGGTCTGTACAGAGAGACAGGAAGTGAGGTAACTGGGCTGAAACAGGATATAAACAGGAGAAACAGGAACTTGCTCTCTGGTCTCCTAGGAGGTAAGGTGTTGTGGTGGCTTGCTCCTCCTTCTCTCTGATCTCTCAGCATTTTCCACTATATCTGACCCCAGGATTTTATTATCTAGACCAATTAAGAACTCCAGTTACACTGTTCCATTTTTACCATCTCCTCAGTAATGTTTGCTACTATTATTTTTTGATACTTAACATCTTCTAAGTAATATTTGCTACTTATTATTTTGTTGATAAGGTGTTAACTGAAGTGAGGTAGAATCTCAATGTAGTTTTGATTTGAATTTCTGCCATGGGTATGGATTTTCAGCCTTCTCTACTTCTTGGGAATTATCCATTAAATTCATTGGCCCATTTATTGATAGGATGATTTATTTTTCAGCCAGTGTTTAACTGTTTTACCTCTTTACATATTATTGATAGTTATATATTCTTTTAGAACGTTTGCCAGAGATTTCTCTCACTTTGAAGGTTATCTATACACTGGAAAATTGGTTGCTATGTGTTTGAATTGGATGGAATCCTACTTCACCATTCTAGTTCTTAATTCTTAATCTATCTGAGACGTATTCAGAAAGTTTTTGCCTATGTTTATATGTTAATGTATTTTCCTATACTACTTTCAATGTTTCTACACACATATTAAAGGCATTTGTCATTTTGAATAAAATTTTGTGTAAAATAAGAGAGAAGTCTTCTACATATAACTATTTTTCAAAGCATTTAATTGTTATAGAGGCTATGTTTATGAAACTTTTGTCAAAAACAAGGTATCTATAGCTACATGGGTTTGTTTATTGATTATCTTATCTATTCAGTTCGTCTACATGCCTGTTTTTGTGCAAGGACCATGAATTTTTTCTTACTATGCCTATGTAGTATGATTTAAAATCAGCTTTTGTGATATAGTCAACATAGCTTTTGTTTCCTTCAGGTTAACATTGATTTCACAGTCTTCTGAGATTTCATATGAATTTTAGGAGTTTGATTTATTTGTTTTTTTCTTCTATTTCTGTGAATATCATTGGGGATTTGATGGTAATTGCATTTCAACTATAGATCATACTTGATAATATTCATGGTATTAATTTGCTAATTCATGAGCACATGATATCTTTTCATTTTATAATATCCACTTCAGTTTCTCTCTTCCATACTTTATAATTTTCATTGCAGAGTTTTCTGCATCCTTGGTTAGTTATATTCCAATATAGTCATATTCCTGTATTGATTGGAACTGTGAATTCAGTTTTTTTCTGATTTGTTTCTCAGAATGTTAATACTTAGTGTCTTCACTACTTTTGTATTGGTGTGATAAGACATCATGACCATGGCTACTTATAAAAGGAAGAGTTTATTTGAGGCTTTACAGTTTTAAAGGGTGAGTCATGATCATCATGGCAGGGGCCATGGCAGCAGACAGTCAGGCATAGATCTAGAGCACTAGCAGAGATCTTACATCCTTATTCATAAGCATGAGGCAGAGAGAGGCCTAACTGGAAATGTCATTGACTTTTGAAACCTCAAAGCCCACTCCCAGTGACACATCTTCTCCAACAAGGCCATACCTCCTAATCCTTTTCAAACAGTTCCACCAACTAGGGACCAAGCATTTGAATTTGAGCATGGGGTGGGGGTGGTATTCTTATTCAAAGCATCACACTTAGTAAAACATTTTGATTTTATATACAGCTACATTGTTGAATAAGTTTACCAGACTAAAAGTCATACATTTGAGTCTTTGAAGTATAAAATCTTATCATTTGTAAACAGAAGCAATTTGATCACTTACTTCAATTTGAGAATGATTTTCATTTATTTCTCTTACTGTTTTGAGTAGAAATTTAAACACACTGTATTGAATAAGCAGAGTAAATCAATATGTATCTTTGTCTCTGGATAATAGTTTAAATTGTCTTCCATTTAGTTTCATTATTTTATAAGTATATCATATGTAGCATTTATTAATTTGAGTTATGATCCTTGAATTCCTAAAATCTTGCTTTTATCATGAAAAGATATATTTTGGTGAAAGTAATCTCAGTTCCACCTCCTCCTCATTCTGTAAGGTTATCTTCAAGTGATATATATAAGAGTCAGGAGAGCTGATAGTCATCAGTCCTGAGAGGGAGAAATGGAAGATAATTAGATGGAAATCCTCTAAAAGTGAACTAAAGATATCTGCTTGCTTCACCTTGGGGCTGCTTCTGCTTTGCAATGCCCTCTCTTACTAACAGTGCATTTCTTCTTTCAGTAAATCCTGTGTTATACTTTGCTGTTTCTGTGTCTTGTTTTAATTCTTTGCTGTGAAAGCTAGTAAAATAGCTTTACTTATCTTCTGTAGTGCTGGTTTAATGTGCATGAGCTACTTTGGTTTGCGATGATCTCAAAAGCTTATCTTATTTTGATTTCACTATTATTTTTAAAGATAGATTTGCTGAGTATAGCAACCTTTGTTGGCAGTGCATTCTCTGGGTTAGAAACAAACAAGTTTTCTGTCTTTGGGGATCACCGTTGAGATATTTAATGTTATTCTGAGTTTGTCCTTTTAAGTGGATCTTATGCTAAATTTGTAAGCATAATGTCTTTATTCTATGGACATAACATTTCAAGTATAATGTGATGTGAAGAAGTTCTTCACTTACCATGTCTATTTGGTATCTTAAATGCTTTCTGGAAGTACATGTCTGTATCTATGCCTTACTTTGGGAAGTTTTGTGCTATAATGTAAGTGAACAGATTCTGTATGTCTTTAATTTGTATCGTAGCTCCTCTTACCCCAAGAATACGTAGATTTTGTCTCTTAATCATTGAAAATATTTTCCATGATGGCTTTTCTTGGCTGGAGTTCAAAACAGGGTTTATCTGTGTAGCTTTGGAGTATCTCCTGGAACTCTCTGTAGACCAGGTTAGCCTCAAACTCACAGGGATCCGTCTGCCTCTGCCTCCCGAGTGCTGGGATTAGAGGCATGCACCACCAGCACCTGGCAAAAGTTTTAAATTTTATACTCAAAGTTACACAGGCATTTTAAACTTTATATGTTTGTTCAATATATTTCATTTTTCTCTCTTTTTGCAGTGTGTATTACTTAATTAAATTTATCTTTAAATTTATTTATGATATTTATATTACTATGTAACTCTTTTTATATAATTTATTTAACTTTATTTTATGTGCTTTGGTGTAAAGGTGTCAGGTCCCCTGGAACTGGAGTTACAGTTCTGGGCTGCCATGTGGGTGTAGCAGAGTACTTACTACATGAGATGTTATAATTGCACTTCATCCACAAAGGTTTAAGCATTTCATGATGAAAAGCTGAATCTGTTATACTTCCATGTTTACTCATTCTAATATACTTTCTTCTTAGCAGTTTTAAGATTTATTCCATTGTATTTCTTTTCTTTTTTGATAAGTTTCTTTCTTAATTAAATAATTTATTTATATTTTATGTATGAGTGCTCTGCATGTAAATCTGCAGGTCAGAAGAGGGCATCAGATTCTATTATATAGATGTTTGTGTGACACCATGTCATTGTTGGGAATTGAATTCAGAATCTCTGGAAGAGCAGCCAGTGCTCTTAACCTCTGAGCCATCTCGCCAGCCTGGAATAAGTTTCTTTTGCCAGGTTTAAGGGAGGTATTTTAGCAGTAAATTCTCTCTCTTTGTGTGTGTGTTATTTTTTCCTTTGAAGAATGTCTTGTGTCTTCAATCTCAACATGTACTTTCATCAGATATAAATGTCATGATTGAGAATTACTTTTTGTACTTGTAAGAATGGGTTTGTTCCCACTGAACTTCATGGTTTCAGATGAAAAATATGATGCCACTTAAATTTGCCTTCTTTCATTGTTCAATATGCGATAATTTTCACTTATCTCGGTGATTTTTCATTTGCCGAAGACTGCAGAGGATTGATTTTCATGTATTCTAGTATAAAACACATTTGATTTTTTACAGTTTATGATGTACTATCACTTTGAATTTGTAATTATGCCCACCACATATGGATCCTATTTTTAGTCATTTTTTTAAATTTCCTTAGACTCCCACATGTCTCTACTTTGGTAAATAGAGTTGAAAAAGACAGAACTTATATTGTTATTATTCTTATGGTCCCTAGGGGTTCTTTGTTTACTTTTGTTTTAAGTGTGTATGTCCTCTATTTTTCATATTGAGTGATTTATATTGATATTGATTTCACTTCAATCCAATGTTTTGTCTATCTGATAATCTTTTGTTATTTTCTCCCATTTTAAAGTCCTCTTTAATCATTTTCCTTATTTTATATATTGTTTGAAATTTTATAGTCTTTCCTTTCTTTCAAGAGTTTTTGCAATTCATTATTGAAACCTTTTTATGATTACTGTGGAAAATATCAAATAATTCTAACATGTGTAATCTTATTTTTCAATATCTGTATGTTTAGTTATTCAAGTTGTGATTAATTTTCATTTCTATACTGAGTATTTTGTGTATTATGGTATTATAAGTTGAATTCTATTTAATCTTCTCACTTTTTAGATACTAATCCTGTTTAGGTGTTTCCTGAAATTGCTAGTGTTGAACAACATTTAACTGTTCTAGTTTTTATATGTCATAGAGTTGTGAGGCAGAAAACTGAATTGTATGAAATCACTAGAGTAGAGAGCAACTAGTTCTCAACTGGACCCTGCTGACATTATGTAGAGGGAGAAAAGAAAAACTGATTAAGTTCACCTCTTCTTGATTCCTTATTGGTGGCAAGGAATGTTAAAGATCTGCTTTCTCCATCAGCCTTCTGCACCAATCTAGCAGGGAATCAAGATACTTCCCTGTTTCTTTCCGTCATAAGACAAGAAAATTCTCCCATATCAGCATCATTAATAGTATCCCAGGAGAGGAGTTGGAGTCCTATCTGCTTATCCTCTGAAAAGGATGGAGATAACTATGCTTTCTGTGATGATTAGTGTCAATTGTCAACTTGAAAAACTCCAGAAACACCTAGCAGTTAGGTTTCTAGGCATACCTGTGGGGGTGTTTGATTGGGTCAGGTAGAAAGACCAGCCCATTCTGTGTGTTACCACTCTGTAGACAGGCAATCCTGGACTATATAAGTGGAAACAGGCAGCTAAGCAGGAGCTTGTATTTATCCCTCTCCATTTTCTGATTGCCGACACAGTGTTTGCAGATGTTTAAAGCTCTAATTGAACTGTGAGCACTTTCCAAACCTCAAGTTTCTTTTATCAGAATATTTTATTACTGGAACAGGAAAGAAACTAAGATACCTGCTAAACCCTTCCAACCTTACTCCACAAAGGTAAATGGTTATTTTTCTGCCTCTCCGAAGGGGAATAAATCACTTTTTTACTTGTACTCACTGAAACTGTCCTGCTGAGGAAACAAACAGAACGTGGCAAGATAGACCATTTCCTTGTGTAATCACACTGAAACTCATTTGGTGATGACTTTCTGCCAGTAATTTGTTCAATTGTGCATCAGCTTTAAAAATATATCTTGGTAGTTTCCCCCTTTATCAGTATTTTGGCTAAGGAGAACAAGCATTTCTTTGAAGTTTATGTTTCTTTTTTTAATTTAACTTTTAATTGGTTCTTTGTGGATTTCACATCATGCATCTCAATCCCAGTTTTCACCCCATCCCTTCCCACCTGCCCTTGCAACACCCTCCCCCAGATTAAAAAAGAAACAAAAGACAAGGTAAATCTCATTGTGGAAGCTGTAGTGTTAAGCAGTGAGTCCCACAGTATACCCTTTACTTGCAAGTGTTCATTGCAATGACACGTTGGTCTGCTTTGAGGCCTCTGTTTTATGTTACATTATGGATACTGGGCCCTCACTGGGGCTCCTCTTGGATATCCTGTTGTTGTCCTGTGTCATGGAGATCCTGCAGTTTTGGGTCTGCAGGACTGGTCCCTTCACATACTTCAGCAGATCACAGATGGGTGATTGTTCAGGTGAGCCAACTCATAAGCCTGGCTAGCTCACCCTATTCAGTAACCAGAAAAGGGGGTCAATTCTCCTGCTCTCACACCCTCGGGACTGAGTCACTCACAACTACCGCACCAGCGTCAGGTGTACTGAGCTGCCCAAGTATAGTACAGGGGCCACTCAGCCCAGTGCTGCAGCTGGTGAGAGGCAGGGCCAGTTCTCTTGTTCTATTGACCTCAGGGCCAGCTCTCTCACCTGCCACAGACACAAATGGTGTAATGGGGGACTTCTCTCCCTTACCCACACCACTGTCTGACAGATAAGGAGTGAGACCAGATCTCTCGTGCTCATGTTCTCAGGACCAACTCACATCCCGACCCCATCAATGGGGGTCAGCTCTTCTGAGCTGCCCAGGCAAGGTGCAGGGACCTCTCTCTTGAGTGCTGTAGCTGGGGGGGGCATGTTCAGCGCTCCTGCCTGCAGCAGGTGGTGAAGGGTGTAGGGAGGGTGAGAGCAGCTTCTCCCATCATTAGCCCTGCAGGCCAGACAAATGGGGTGGGCCCAGTTCTCTTTCCACACCTTCAGGTCTAGCCTACTAGTGGCCCCACCAACAAGGTCAATCTACTGTGCTGTCCAGGTCTGGTGGAGTGCCTACTCTCCTGAGAACTGAGGCTGGTGGAAGGCAGGGTCTCCTGCCCACTGCAGGAAGTGGTGAGTGGAGAGTTGGAGAGGGCATCTTTCTTCCTCCCTTGCCACCATATGAAAGACAGGGATGTGTGACCAACTCTCCCACTCTCAGAAACACAGGGCAGGCTCAAATGCACCTCAGTCAACAGGGTCAGCTCTGTTGTCCTGCCCAAATGAGGTTCAGGATCTGTTCTCCCATTCTCATGACTTAAGTACAAGCTTTCCCACCTACCACTGGCAATGAGGGGTGAGGGAGCCATCTATCCCTCACCCATGCCACCATATGGAAGATGAGGGGCAGGACCAGATTCCCTATGCTCAAGTTCTTGGGTTCTTGGGTCCAGTTCACCTGGGAGAAATATGTATGCCTCTCTCTCTCTCTCTCTCTCTCTCTCTCTCTCTCTCTCTCTCTCTCTCGCTCTCTCTCTCTCTCTCTCTCTCTCTCCTTTAACCCTTTTGTCTGATTGTCTGTCTCTCACCATCTGGCATATTTAGGAAACACTAAAAGGAAAAAAGGTGCTTACCACCTTGACATTCCTCAAGATCCTAGTTCCTGAGGCAAACCATCTTTATTATTTCTCTTTTCATAAAATTATTTTCCTACTAGGTCTATGGACTTTTAGTTGTAATAGGGATTATCTGGGAGTGATGAGGCTATGTAATGGGTGCGAATTGTGTGGACCATGATAATACTCAGAATGAAAAACTATAGCCTATGGTCCTCAGCATGAGAGTCTCTAGGGGCAACATAGGACTCTAAGGTATTTTCAAGAAATTATTTATTCTATTCTGAATAACATGAAGTAAATGATGAACATATATGAATTGGTGAAATAATAAAGATTTCAAGAAGCCAGTATGAAATATATATATAGTAAAAATGATCTTTATATAATGAATGATTCTGTCACTATTTTCAATAAGAAATAGTGAGAAAGTCAGTCAATGAATTAATTGTGAGAGTATGCATTAAATTTTGTATACAAATTATGGAAAGGGATAGTTCCATTGGTAAAGTGTTTGCTTTGCAAGCACAGGAAGTCATGTTTGATCACTAAAACCCATGTTTTGTTTTGTTTTTTTTAATTTAGGATCTTTGCTATATATTTGTAATCACAACATTGATGATACGGAAATAATCAGATCAGTGGAGCCTTACTGTCCATGTAGCCTAGGCTACTAGGCAAATTCAAGATAATAAGACCTCTTACATCAACAAAAGGTAAATAAACACATCCTGTTTGCAAGACATAAATCATACTAGAGCATAGCTAGAAGTTTCCTTCCTCTTGGCTAGCTTTCATAGTGCTATTCATATTCACATCAATATTTGTATATCTAGGTGTGATATTGGAATTACACAGGAATTAAATACCTGTAATTCCAATGTTTATAAGACTGACACATAACGAATGCCTGGAGTTTGAAGCCAGCTTGGGCTGAATAGTGAGTTCTGGGCTAGCCTGGGCTACGGGATGAGGCCTTACCTTATGTAAAACACAGAGGGTTGGGAATATAGCTCAGTGTTAGAGCATTTGCCTAGTATTCATGCAACGCTAGGCTTTATTTGCAGCATTGCAGAGAGAGAGACATAGACATAGACAGAGACAGAGACAGACAGATCAAACCTGGGACATGTTAACCATTTACACTACTAAAGAAAGTAAGGTTAATATGATAACCTCATATGAATCAGAACCTACAAAGGGCAACTAGGGGAACAGAGACTCATATGAATATCAAACTAGGTACAACAGGGTAGATAGGATTCATTTCAATATAGAAGAAATTGATTTAATTTAATAAGAGCACATGAAACTAACAGAATTTAGAGACTTCTACAACCTTATATTTTCGAAGAACTGAATTTCTTGTGAGTTTCCCATCGTTACAGGTAAAAAACATAGAAATGGGCAAAATCTTAAATATTCTTATGAAATACAGTACACAGGAAAGAAGTTCATGTGCAAAGCTTTTTCTTTTCTCTCTAGAATTGCATTTAAGACCTTTCACAACAAATACTATCTACTTTTACAAGTTTATCCCCAATGACTCTGTTTTCAACTGGTGATATTGTCTAAACCTTATTATACCAATTCATGATGTCCAAACAGAATATGATTTCCAAAAAGAACTTCCTGGAGACAATGCTATTAATTGAAGGAGAATATATTTTGTTAAAATAACAAATCCAACAGAGTCTTAGACTTTGATATTTGTGAGCAAAGAATGTTATCAGTGGCCTCTTTTTAATTTGTTAGAGCAATTTTATAAGTATACCCCTTAGGAACAAAGAGATATAAATTAAAGTATTATTTTAAGGCGAGATGTTATTGATGCAATAAGCCAAATCAAACTGAATAAATAAATACAGGGCAATGCAGAGTAGAGCACTCCCAGGTGGCCCTCAGTAAGACAGGGTGAGATTTTAAGCACAAAAACCATGCTCTGGGCTGGCATACTTCAGTTAACAAGAACAGTTAGAAGCAGAACTACAGAAGCCCAAAAGTAAGGTTAGCACTTTCAGAGACTTTCCCAGATGGAGTAGGTCTTTGTTTTCATTTTGGCAGATGGTACTGTCTATGTGCTGAGTTTCATGGCCTGAATGGTACTTCCATCATAGAGTCAGTTCTGTTAAGGTCTCGGAGCCTTCTAAGGATTGGGACCCTGTTACCTTCCCCACTGCTCTTAGTGAAGGAGTCAAAAGTGGACTCATCCTGCTCTAAAGAGGTGTAGTTGGTACTAAGGAACATTAATTTCACTGAACTCATACATAATTGGCCAAACAGTTTAAGATGCAGGAGCTAGCTGCTAATCAGAATGAGAATTTTTTAATTTTTTAATTTTAATTTTAAATAGCTTGTTTTACATGTCAATCCCAGTTCCCTCTCCTTCCCCTCCTCCCGCACAACCCGACCATCCCCCCCAGCCTCCCTCCCTATTACCACTTCCTTCTATATAGTGGATATCTACAGTCTGTCATTTCACTCAGGGCAGGATCCAGGCACTCCCCTAAGATTCCAGGCTGAGAGAGCATCCCTCTTTGTGCTATGGGCACAAGATGACTGTATTCCAGGGATAGACACTGATCCACAGCTCAGGGCCCCATAGGTTGCCCAGGCCTTCTCGCTGACACTCATATTTGGGGGGCCCAGATCAGTCCCATGCTGGCCTCCCCGCTGTCAGTCTGGGGTCTAAGAGCTCTCCCCTGTTCAGATCAGCTGTCTCTGCTGGTTTTGCCAGCCCATTCTTTGCCAATTTGCTCATCACTCCTCTCTCTCTGTCACTGGGTTCCTTGGGTTCAGTTCAGTGTTTAATTGTGGGTGTTTGCCTCTGCTTCCATCAGTCACTGGATGAAGGCTCCTGGATGGTTATAGACATCAAGTTCATTATCAGGAATAGGCATTCGAGGTGGTCTCTCCACTATTGCTTAGCTTGCCAATTGGTGTCATCCCTTTAGATCACTAGAGGTCACTCTGGTGCCTGATCTGTCTTCTAACCTATGATTCCCTCTTCTCCCTATTCTACCCCCCCCCCACTCAACCTTCCTGTTCACCCATGACCTACTCTCTCTTCCTCTTCTCCCCCTCTCTTCTTCCCAGCTCCCATTTCCCCCTACCCCTTGCCGTGTTCCCCATCCATTCAGAGGATCTTGTCTCAATCCTCTTCTCTTGGGTACTATGCATATCTTTTAGGTTCTTTCCTATTTCCCAGACTCTCCATCAGTGGAAGTGCAGACTGGCACTATCCTGATCCATGTCTAAAATCCATATATGAGTGAGTACATGCCATGTTTGTCTTTTTGTGACTGGGTAACCTCACTCAGGATGGTTTCTTCCAGAATGAGAATTAAAGGCCCAGTCACGACTGACATCCCGGAGGACCAAAAGTACAGATTGGTACCAATTATCTGATTTATTTCTTTTTCTCTCATTTTTTGAGATTTTTTAACCTAACTTTGGCAAGATTTTTTATTACTCCTGATAAATTAGCAGAGAAACAATATGTCTTTCCCAAAGCCTGACATAGTTTCCTTTATCTCATGAGAAATAAGTCTAAGACTCTCCTCCAATTATGTATAATCATTCCTGCAAAGAACGCTTAACTATTGTTTTAATACCTCTATGTCCAGATCCACCCCTCTGCTTAGCCTGCAAAACATCAGAAGAGGCAAATTTAGTCAAAACATCGGTAAGAGTCCCACCAAATAATCTCAGGGGGCTATTGTTGTTATCCAGATGAATTAACTGGTAAGTCAGAATAGAATAGCAGGCATCAGAATAAGGGAAAGTACCTAGGTTAAATGTTTGGTATATTAGACAAGTTTCAGTCCCTTATATGTCCCCAAACATTAATCTGGGCTGTCCCCATCACAGTGATTTGTCAGTCAATGGGCTAACAGTCTGGTTAGTTCCTATCCTTATGTAGTACAGGGGCCCAGGTGTCTAAGCGTAACCAGCAATCCTGGCTGATTTCTAACTGTGAGTGATAAACTCTATCCCCAAGATTACTTCCTGTGGTATGGAGTCTGATTCCCCAGGTTTTTCCTGTTTCCCAAAGGCCACAATCATTTTAAAGGAAATTTTCTGGAAGCCTCAGTTTTACTACCCAAGTTTTTACAATGAAAACTCCCTTGTTTCTGGAAACTAGAGAGGCCCTGCTATACGTCATGCATAGAATTGTAAACTCTGTGTTTCTATCTTAGAAGACAAATTCCCATCTTTCCTTTACTCTAACACAACCAGGCACTTAGTGTGGACCTCAGCAAGTAAAGGTCAAGATGGAATATGAATTGCTGGTCTGTAGTCACAGTAGCTAAGGCTTTCCCTGTGTCTGACTTCCTCAGTTTCCAATCAAGGCTTGAGAGCAGTGGGGATTAGACCCTGAATCTTGTGATTCAGGAGGAGATAGCAGGGCAGTGAGTGCAAGGACCCTGGACCCCATGAAACCCTCATTTCAATGGGACATAGTCCAGAGACAGTCCATTTGACATCAGCATCTATGGCTTCTGCTTTCTTGATCTGGATGTGGTGGCTCCATGGTGTGACGCCAGCTACCTTCACTGCCATAGGAGTGGAGAGAATCACCTCACAGGGCCCTTTACAGGTTGGTTCCAGCACCCCTTGGCTAATCACTTGACCCACATGATATCACTGTACTTGAACAAGGGGAAACTTGTGGTGGACACACAGATCAGCTTGGTTTCTCAGATAGTCTAATGAATATCCTGTGTGGAGAACTGGAAGATGTACAGTGACTTGAGAAAGGAATGATTAGAGAGTTCAGCCATCTGCTGGTTTCTGAGACTGGGAATCAGTGAGGGAGGTCTTCCAAACATAGTCTCATAGTGGGTAAATCTCTCCCTGTATGGGATACAGCAGGCTGAAGCACAGCAAAGGAAGGAACCCTAACTGTCCTTCTCTGTACTCTAATGAGATTTTTTAGACTTTCTTTTAATGTCTTGTTTATTCGTTTTACTTGCCCAGAAGTCTGAAGTCTATATGCATAATGAAGTTCTTATTCTATGTCTAAAATTTTAGCTAGTATTTGAGAGGTTTTGGCTATGAAAGCTAGGTCACTGTTGGAACAAATTGCTAGGGAGGAGCCAAATCAGAGGACCATGGATAAGTTTACTATTTGAGCAATTCCATTCTAGATGGGAAACACTTTTACCTACCTGGAAAAGGTATCTATAAAACCAGCAAGTATTTTTATCTTCTTCCCCCAGCAGACCGGAGCTTAGTGAAGTCAGTTTCCCAGACATTGCTGGGGTGTTGGTCTCTCATTCTGATCTCTTCCTGGGTACAGGCTCTTTGTTTTGGATTCACTGGAACACTAACTGGCATCTGGCTGAGACGTCCCTTACTAGGCAGTCCATATTAACATACTGTTATACCTTGGTTTGAGCCTGGTGAAAGTCAGTTCCCAGAGTCCTGACAGTTGTTTCTGGGAGAATGATCTCTCCTTCTGGTGTCCTCCATCATCCTGAGGGTTTTATCTCTCCCTTACTTCTTTACCACAGCATCTCAAGCAACACTGGGTCATGGTATGTCACCAGAATATCAATCGGCCCCACTGCTCTTAGGGCTGTTGTTGGGCAGCCAGGTCAGAAGCCCGACAGCGGAGGACAGCAATTTGTAGAGGAAATCAAATAACCTCTAGAAGATTAAGGTTTTTTTAATATCTTCTTTCTCAGCAATGAGAAGCCCTCTTTCTCCATAG